ATGCCACGCTATTTATTCTCACTGCCCCATGCTATTCCCCTACCCCATGCTATTCCCACTATCCCATGCTATTCCCACTATCCCATGCTATTCCCCTATTTCATGCCATTTCACTACCCCACGCTATTCCCATTATCCCATGCTATTCCCCTACCCCATGCTATTCCCGCTATCGCATGCTACATAAACAAGGAGACTTCAGGGCTGTGGAAGGCCATGATGAGCATAATCAGGGCACAGTGTCAACAGGGGCTAAAGCACTAAGAAAGGCTCAGCCTGGCTAATCAGCTTGAACTGGTCACAGGCCCAGGCACTGTCGTTCCTCCTGCAGGGGTTGGTAGAGGTCACACCAAGCAGGAGGGAACGAACAGGGCTGGTGTGCACAGGTGGTCCCACTCACCATCTTCCGTCTTCCCTTGCAGTAGGCACAGAAATCTGCAATGGCGGCCCAGCACCCAAGTCTTCAACCTGCTGTATCCTGTGAGCACCAGCCTGTGGGGACCCGATGGCTCCCTCAGTCTTCACCCACTAGGATGTGGGTTCTGCCTGTGGCCATTTGCTACCAGAGGTTAGGAAGTCCAAGAAAATGACTGAAGATCATTTTGGATATTTTAATTTTTTTTTTTTTTTTTTTTTGAGATTGAGTCTTGCTCTGTCACCCAGGCTGGATGGAGTGCCCTGGCACAATCTCAGCTCACTGCAACCTCCAACTCCCAGGTTCAAGCGATTCTCGTGCCTCAGCCTCCTGAGTAGTTGGGACTACAGGCGCCGCCACCACACGCAGCTAATTTTTGTATTTTCAGTACAGATGGGGTTTCACCATATTGGGCAGGCTGGTCTCAAACTCCTGACCTCAGATGATCACCCCGCCTCAGCTTCCTGAAGTGCTGGGATTACAGGCATGAGCCACCATGCGTGTTTTTATAAACCGAACTTACATTACTCATCGTTTTTGGATAGTTACCACTGGGAGGTCTTTGAAAAGGGTCCATGCATGAACTCTGAAATCACTGAGAACATTTGCAGCCACACATGTACATATGTGTATACAGGTAGACAGATGGACACAGGCCGTTTCTCATCTGGTTTAGAAAAACACACATGCTCAGAAATTCAGAATAAAATAAACAGAAAACCACTTGCCCATTATTTGTGGTAAAATGATAGCAGAAGCCACACCACATTTGACCCATCAGAAAAATTCTGCCAGAAAGGTCAAGGCCACAGGTAGCGCGGCCATCCAACTTCAGTGGTCTGAGCAGAAATGATCTGTAATGAACACCACGCAGTGGCTCTGATGGCTCCAGATGGCACCAGGAGGGGAGGGCGGGGCTGGATGCCGATGCCTGTGCACCCCCATGACTACATATTGGTGGGCTTGGAGTAAAGGGCAGAGGCAAAGAAATGGACCTCCCAGTTGAAATGGGAATTATGTTAAATTCAGGATGTTCAGCTCATGATGGGAGCTCCAAAGCATTTGCTCCCGACAATGACACTTAACTAGATGGGGTCATTGGGGTGGGTGTAGGAGAGCAGCAGACATGCCCAGCACAGCCAGAGGCCTGCAGGAAAGGGGTGCTGGGTTTTTTGTTTTGAGACAGTCTCACTCTGTCACCCAGGCTGGAATGTAGCGGCATGGTCTTGGCTCAATGCAACCTCCACCTTCTGGGTTCAAGCAATTCTCCTGCCTCAGCCTCCTGAGTAGCTGGGATTACAGGCACCCATCACCACAACCAGCTAATTTTTATATTTTTAGTAAAGACGGGGTTTTGCCATGTTGGCCAGACTGGTCTTGAACTCCTGACCTCAAGTGATCCGCCCACCTCAGCCTCCCAAAGTGCTGGGATTACAGGCGTGAACCACTGTGCCTAGCCTTCATTTTCATCTCACTGGTCAGAGACCCCTGGTATCCAGAGCCTGGGACTGGGATGAGGGGCTCCTAAGAGGTTCTGAAGGACCCTGCAACCAGCCCCTCTGGACACCAGGACAGGATGTGAAAGCATCTTGCTGACTCAAACCTCACCTTAACCAAATGTCCTGAAAAGCTTGTAGGCTGCTCCTCCCTCTGGCCTCACATGTGCAAATGAACTCATTTTACAAACAGGGGGCTCCAAGCCTAGATTTGTTCAAGGCATGTAATTGGGAAGTAGCAACTTCAATCTATCCATTGCAAACCACCAGGCCAAGGGTTAGAGTTGTTGGCAAGCTCACAGCCAGGAGGGTGAGAAGTCCAGGAAGCCTGTTGGGGAGGGAAGTCGCTCAGGCACCACAGGACCACCTTCCTGCACAGCTCAAACAGCACTCAGGCCCTGTCCTCATGAGGTCACATCACTGGACTTTTAGTCCCGAGTCTGACCTGGCCACCTCCTGGGATCAAAGGGAGGATTTGGGAAGTGGCAGGTGGGGGCAAGGAGTTATCGTGGAGGACCCAGCTTCCAACTGTAAGGGCAGCAGCCAGTGCCCACCTCTCCCCATCCAGGAGTCTGGGCTGCTGACAGCAGCAGCCTAGAACTCAGAATCAAGACAACCCCAGTACTCATGAGGCCTCCAGCTGACTGACCATTACAGACGCCCTTTGGGGCGCCCACCCGGATGCCCCAGACAGAACAGGCAGCGCGCGTCTGTCCTTCTCGCTGTGTTTGTGTGATGCGTTCTGGGTCTGTGAATGGTCACGTGGATTAATACTTTTGAAACCCCCTCCCTGTCTTCCACCTCATGTGAACTGGGAGATGGACAGAACTTCAACCTAGGAGTTTGACAACCAGTGACAGCAAATGAGAAGGAGCCAGAGTATCACACATCACAGGAAGCTTTATTCATCCGCTGCTGCTCCAGAGAGAGGGTCACGGGGTCACTCACTTTAATATGCTGTCATCTTGGGCTGGAAGGTTAGAAGAAAAGCACATGTTACTACACGCAGGTAACCTAAAAAGACGTCAGCTTCCCAGTTGTTTTTGTTTGTTTTTTTGTTTTGAGATGGAGTCTCCCTCTGTCACCCAGGCTGAAGTGCAATGGTGTGATCTCAGCTCACTGCAACCTCTGCATCCCAGGTTAAAGCGATTCTCCCGCCTCAGCCTCCTGAGTAGCTGGGATTACATGTACCTGCCATCATACCTGGCTAATTTTTTTTTTTTTAGACAAAGAGTTTTGCTTTGCTGCCCAGGCTGGAGTACAGTGGTGTGATCTCAGCTCACTGCAATCTCTGCCTCCCGGGTTCAAGCACCACCTCCCAGGTTCAAGCAATTCTCGTGCCTCAGCTGAGTAGCTGCGATTACATGCCTGCCACCATGCCCGGCTGATTTTTTGTATTTTAGTAGAAATGGGGTTTCACCATCTTGCCCAGGCTGGTCTCGAACTCCTGAACTCAGGCAGTCTGCCTGTCTTGGCCTCCCAAAGTGCTAGGATTACAGGCATGAGCCACCACACCCGGCCATGCCCAGCTAATTTTTGTAGAGACAGGGTTTTACCATGTTGGTCAGGCTGGTCTTGAACTCCTGACCTCAGGTGATCTGCCCGCCTCAGCCTCCCAAAATGCTGGGATCACAGGCATGAGCCACCATGCCTGGCCAGCTTCCCTGTTTTTAAACAATCCACATCTACTTAGCTCTGCTTGAATGTCCTTCTCCATTTTCCTTATCCCTGCACAAACCTGGGAGGGACAATCTATAAGAGCTAGTGTCACACGTACCTTCTGCCAATTCTCTGGCAATCCGTTTCAGTTCATCCTGCCTCTTCTTCTCCTCTGCTTCTATCCTCCTCTCCTCTTCTGCCCGAGGTTTTAGGTAACCTGTTTGGGGGAATGCAGGGGAATAAACTTCACTGGAAATGCTGCATAAAAGGAACTGAGTCCACAGGTCAAGGTATCTTCAGCGACGCTGTGAACCAGAAGCACCTGCTGTCCCCTCTCTTTATGTCAACGAGAGTCAACGCCTGACCTTCACCCTAAAGAGTCCAATCCAGAGGCTACAGGGTCCCTGCTGCCCACCCCCTCATGCACTGGCTCACTCGTCCTCTGTGAACAGGGACTGCCTCCCGTCAGACCTCAGCACTCCAACACCCACTCAGCACCCGTTTTCAACAAGCAGCAGCCGTTTTCGAGTCCCCCGCCCGAGTCTCAGAGGCCTGAGCTTTGGGTGAGCTGTTTCCACTCTAGGGGTCCCGCTCGGTGGAGGACACGGTCTGCCTCGCATGAGTCCCAGCCCCACTTCCAGAGCTGGAGTTCACCAAATGGCAGATGAAGAACTTCACAGGAAAGCCGAGCAGATCCCGCCGCGGCCCCGGGGCCGCCCGCGGTCACTCACTGTAGCGCGTGGCTCCGTAGGCCATACCGAGGAACAGGGCGGAGTAGCGGCCGAGCTGCGAGAGAGGTTGATCAGAGGCGGCGGGAAACCGGACTCGCGGGATGGGGGTCGCGGGAGGAGAGGGGATGGGGTCGCCGGGCAGAGGTCGCAGGAGGGGTGGGGGTCGGGTCGCCGGGCGAGGGTCGCCGGGCGGGGATCATGGGGGCGGGGGGCGGGGGTCGCAGCCCGCGGGGTGGGAGCTGCGGGGCGGGACACGGAGGGGCCCAGAGCACTGCTCGGCGGCTGCAAAGCCTGGATCACCTTGATGAGCGGAGAGACCTCCACCGGCGGCACCATCTTGTCCCTGACCTCCGCACCGGAAGCGCAACCCGCAGTCGGAGGCGGACGCCGCACAAGCCCGCAAAGCCTTGAAGGCAAAGGCGGAGCTGGACGGACGCATGCGCTGTCAGCAGCGAGAGAGCGGTGCAAGGGGGCGGGGCGCGCCTCCTGGTGGCTGGAGGGTGACTGCGCACTCCCGGGCCGCGGTGACGTCACGTGATGCGCACGCGCACAAGGGCCGGGGCGTGCTCGGATGACCACCGGCTGCGCCCGCGCGGTTGCTTCGTGAGGCGGTGTCAGCGCCGAGTGGGTCGGGGGTTTCTTTTCGCCGCAGGGCTTGGGCCCGGCTGTCTCCCCGCGCCGCTGCTGAGGTCCTGTCGTGTGCGTCCTGGCCGTGTGTCCACACCCCAGACTGCGGACTGAGGCGCACTCGATCTTCTTGCGGCGCGGAGCGTCCGGGACCTGAGGTCAGGGCGGCTCGGGCGGGTCCAGCCCCGCGGTCCGTGCCCACCTGAGGGCGGCCTGGGCAGGGACCTGGGGGTCCTGGGAGCGGAGTATGAGCCAAGTGCAGGTGGCTCCCCGGGCAGGTCCTTCCCCTACAGGTCAGTGACCCTCTGGCCAGTGTCTGTCGCCGGCCGGGCCGCGCTGGACTCCGCAGCCCGCGGTAGCATGGCCTCCAGGCCGCTCTGCCTGTGGCTGCTCTGCCTGGGGGCACCGGACGCCCTTCCCGCCGGAGCTGGAGCTTCCTCACCCCAGGATCTCCCATCACTTCCGTCCCAAGGAGGGGCTGGGATCTTCTTGGGAAGACCAGCCCCCAACAGAGGCTGCTCCCTGGGTCCCCCGACTCCAGCCTTCAGGACTCCACAGCTCCAAGAGCCCGCCCCGGCCCAGGCCTGGGGACCACTGAGCCCCTCACTGGTCTTTGCTGGCCTCTGTCCACCTCCCAGTAGCTGTGTGTCTCCCACAGCTGCCCAGAGGTAGGGCCTGTGGTGCCCATGCAGCCTCCCCGCTGTGCCCGGGGTGCTGACCTGGCAGCCCCATGGACACCAGGCCTGGAGTCTGGGCAGGAGCCTTGCCCCTCCCACGTTCTGGATCTTCCTGGCAGCAGCCATGCTGTCTGTGTTGGGCCATCTGCGGGCCCCCTTTGGCCCCATGCAGTAGTGACGCAAGGCCTTCTGTGTCCCCTCTCCTGGCCCTGCACTGCTACGGGCAGAAGCAACTGGAGAACTATGGCTCGGGCCTTGCTAAGGTGCAGCATCCACAAACTCCAGCGGGCATGGGGAGGACCACAATCCTGGCGACCTGGGCTGCCTGCCCAGGCCTGAGCCACCTCTACCTTCTCTCCTGGCTTGTTCTGGGGTCCAGGGCCTGGGCCTCTCTGGCTGAGAAACTGGGAAGTCACTGGGCTCTGTTTCCTGGGCTGGGTATACCAAGACCAATCCTATAGGGCAGGGGTTCCCAGCCCCCAGCCACAGACCAGTACCAGCTGGTGGCCTGTTAGGAACCGGGCAGCACAGGATAAGGTGAGGGAGCATTGAGGGAGCATGACTGCCTGGGCTCCACCCACTGCCAGATCAGCCTGGGCATCAGATTCCCACAGGAGCATGAACCGTACTGTGAGCTGTGCACTTGGATCTGGATTGCGCTCTCCCTGTGAGAATCTAATGCCTGATGAACTAAGGTGGGACAGTTTCATCCCGAAACCTTCCTCCCCAACACGGAAAAATTGTCCTCCATGAAACCTGTCCCAAGTGCCAAAAAGGTTGGGGACTTGCTGTGGGGCCACCCTGATCTTTTCTCCAGCTTCTGTGAGGTTGACCTGCAGGCCCTGAAGACTCCTGCCTGAGGCCTCTGCCTGAACCCTGTCCTCAGGGGGCCAGAAGCAAGCCCCAGCTCTCCCCAGACCTCCTATTGCTTGCTGAGGAAGCCGCAGGTGCACACTGGATCCGCCAGGCACAGAAGCATTCTGGCCCTCAGCAAAGCCCCCACCTTCCGCCAGGGCAGACGGCCTCGGGTGACCATGGGTGGTTTCCCTTCACTGGATTTTAAAATAAACCAGACTCCTCAGCAACTCCTGCTTCCAGAATCAAAAATAAGTGTCTCTGGGGCCCAAGGTGGGGGGTGAGGGGGACATACCAGCAGCTTCCACCGGAGGTGGGGTGGGGCAGGGCAGGGCACCAGCAGGGAAAACACTCGGGCAAACACATACCGCCCAGGGAAGACCCCCTGAAGCCGGTGGAGACCTGCCTTTGCTCAGGGCCTTTCCTGAGAGCTCAGTAGTGGGAAGGGTCCCACCTGGCTCAAGACATGGCCTGTCGGGGCCTCTGCAGCTGTCGGGTCAGCTGTGGGTGCAGAAGCTGATAGTCCCCCAGCTCAGGCTCTGCTGCTATCTTTAGTGCTGTGCTGAGACTCCAGTGGCCTGGGAACCCTCTGCAGGGAGCTCTGCAGCCCTTCTCACATTCCCGGTGGCCTCGGGGGGCCTCCCAACCATGCGTCCCCTTTCGGTGTGGTTCCCACTCCTGCAGCCCAGCAATACCCCTTCAGGGTCATACCCAGACCCCACTGGACTAGCAGCAGGGGATGCCCTGGCCCTTGTTCCCAGCCCCAGGTTCCCACATCTGGTCACCTGGCCCCTTGCAGTCGGCCCCAGGTCCCTCCTGGGCAGGTCATGCCTCCCAGGGACCTCGAGCTCCAGCGTCAGTGCTGCATAGAGACCGTTGGACCTGGGGATGGAACCAGGCAGCATCTCAGGGGATGCCAACTGTAACCATGTGTCCCTCAGAGGGTAGGACCTCTGCTCAAGAGACACACAAGTGGCACCTGTCTTTTTAGCTTTGCAGACACAATGGTGCCCCCAGGGGATTCCACCCGACTGCTGTGGCTGCATACACTCACTCCCACCCCCGCCCCTGCAGCACCGAGGGGCAGCTGCCTCCCACCCAGACGCAGGCCTGGGGGGCTCCAAGAGCTAGTTCTCCACTCAGTCTGCAGGCCTCCTCTTTGATCCTGCTTGGCCTGCAGACCCTCCTCCCACCCCTTGAACCAGGGCATCTGGATTGACTCTGTGGTGGCCTCCGATATCTGGCACCACCAACAGACCCCAGGCCAGGTCCCTTCCCCAGACTCTGCCCTTGAGGCCATGGTATAGGGGGTAAGACCAGGCTCAGGGCCCTGGAGTCCCCTCCCAGGCCATCTGAGCAGCTTGGCCACCTCCGTGGCTCCTCCATCCCAGAAATGTCATCCCCCATGGGCCAGGCAAGGAGCTCCCAGCCATGAGGTCAGACCGGGTGGTCCCAGGGCCAAGGCTATGGACTGACTTTTCTGTCACTGAGGCAGGGAAGGGCATAAACACCCCTGACACACAGTGTGCTTGGCAGAAGCCTGATGACCAGCTGCAGTCACCCACAGCAGCTTGGTGCAAATCCAGAAAAGATGCCCCTTCCTCTGGCTCCTGCAGTTCCAGGGTGCCCAGGCCCCCAGGCAAGAGCTTGTGCAGGTGGCCCTGGTGACACACAGCATCCTTGGGAGAACTAAGCCTCCCCGCGGGTGGGGGACACGTGGGGTAGGAGGTGGTCCTGGCCAGAGGTGCCTGGGGAGGCTGGGGGCCTTGCAGGGTGGGGCATGGCAAGGGTGTGAGTCACTGCTGGGCTGCCAAAGCTCACTCTGCAGTTGTCCAGTTCCCTGAGGTAGCCCCAAACCTGTCCTTGTAGGGAGTGGCAGCCGGAGTCTGAGCTGTCCTGGGGGACCAAGTGAGAGCTTAAGATGGGCAAGACCTGGGGCCCTGGGTAGACGCATCAAAGCAGGCAGAACCCTGGGCAGACGCATCGAAGCAGGCAGAAGCAGGCATGGTGAGCAGGCCACTGTGCATGCCTGGGGTAGGCATGTGGGTATGAGCTGTGCCGTGCGTGTGTACATGTGCACAGAAAAGAGCATGGGCATGTCTGTGCATGCCTGTGAGTGCAGGTGTGGGCATGTGCTGTGTGTGCATGTGTGTGTGCATGAACATGTGTATGTGCGTGTGTGTGACCATGCAGGTGTGGGCGTGTGCTGTGTGGTGGGAGGTACATGCCCCACGCTGCTGCCCTGGTGAGAGTCTGGAGCAGGATGAGGGGGTTCCTGGCCTTCATGAAATCCCAGTACCCAGAACAAGCCCACCCAGAGTCCACTTGCCCGTCAAGCCTTCAGAGGCCAAGCTGGCTCCTGCTGGACCACGATCCCTGACCGCTGTGCTCTGCGGGTCTTCCGGAAGCCACTGTCTCTCCCCCACTCCCTGTGCTGCAGCCAGACACCAGCAGCCGCCCTGCCCCCAACCCCAGCTACCCAGGCTTGAGGCTGGCATGCTCCTCAGCTGCCTGGCCCCCTCCAGCCCCACCCAAGGGCTGAGGTCCACCCTTCATCTGCGTTAAGTCTCTCAAAACTCTGGGTGCTCTGGACGGTTTCCTCAGCCGGCCCAGGACCCTCAGCCGTGGTGCTCCCATTGCAGGCCAGCAGGAAGACCAAGAAGAGGGAAGGGGGTGCCCTCCGGGCCCAGAGAGCCTCATCCAATGTCTTCTCCAACTTTGAGCAGACTCAGATCCAGGAGTTCAAGGAGGTAAGACTTTCCTGCTTCACTGGGAGCCCCCGTCCCCAGAAGCCTGTGCTGGGAAGACCCCATGTGGGCTGGCTGCAGGGCCAGAGGATAGGAGTGGGAGCCTATCCTCAGTCAGGGGTGCTGAGGAGCTGGGAGCAGGGGGCAGGGGCAGAGCCCAGCCGGGTCGGCAGCACGGCAGCCCTGGCCTCGCTTCCCAGGCATTCACACTCATGGATCAGAACCGAGACGGCTTCATCGACAAGGAGGACCTGAAGGACACCTACGCCTCCCTGGGTAGGTACCCAGGCAGAACACCTCAGAGACCTTGGAGGAGGCGAATACAGAGCATCCTCCAGTCCCATACGCTGCGGCCCCTCCTCCTCCAGGGCCTGGGCTTTAAAGACCCATCCGACGGCCCTGAAGGCTGCGAGGGGATGGCCCTGGCCTCCCTTGGTTCCATCAGAGCTAGCAGAGAGCGTCCCAGGGTGACACGGGGTGGGTGGTACAGCCCAAGCCTGGAAACTCAGAGTGGGCTTTGGGGCAGCAGGCTCCAGGGCAGGGCTGACGCTCCGGTAGGACACTCCGACAGGCAGGCGGCTTGCCCTAAGCCGGACCACAGAGCTGACAGAGGGCATGGAGACCCTGCCCAGCCGGAACACAGAGCTGGGGGAGGGCCTGGAGACCCTGCCCCGCCTCTGCAGCACAGCCCAAGTGTGGTGGGGCACACTGCCCTCCCCAGCCTCAGTTCTCCCTGTGGCATATTCTGTTCCCAGCAGCTGCCTCTGACCTGAGGCAGGAGGGCAGGGGGCTTTGGTCCCACCCTGGGAGCTATGGAGTGACTTCTCCTTGGGGTGGGAGGGTCACAAGTGACCCGTCTTCCTCTCAGCCCTGCTTATGCCCAAGTAAGAAGAGCAGATCCCAGCACCTTCCCAAGCTCTGTGTCACCTCCCTCTCCATCAGCCCTTAGTCCTGGGGCTCAGGGTTTGGGGTGAGGTGGACACATCCAGCCAGACGCACCCACTGCCCCACATGCCTGGGCCAAGTGCCTCCTTCCCGCTCCCTCCCCACCCCTCCCATCTGCCTGCCTGGCCCTGTGCTGGGGTCACCTGCTGGTGGGACAGCAGACATAGCAACAAGCCCTGCCCTGTGACGCCCCCGCATCTGTGACAGGCAAGACCAATGTCAAGGACGATGAGCTGGACGCCATGCTCAAAGAGGCCTCGGGGCCCATCAACTTCACCATGTTTCTGAACATGTTTGGGGAGAAGCTGAGTGGTGAGCACTGTTGGGACAGTCCTTGCCTCCTAGTTAATTCCTGACAGTTAGAGATCCAGACATTTCACGTAAAAATCCCTCTTTTCCTATCTCTGGAGAAGCCCTAAGGCCTGGCACTCTGGGAGCCAACAACTGTGGGGCCCCATCAGCCATCCCAGAGCCATGTGCTCAGGCTCGCCCTCCTGCCCCACATGCTGTGTGACCCGCTGTCGGGACCTCTGTCCCTCACTCATGCGGCACTCACCCCCAGCTCCAGGCCTGGGCTGACCCTGGGCACTCCAAAACTCACTACATCCCAGGGCAGGAGTGCCCGACAAGGCCTCCTTGGGGCTCAGGAAAGGAGAAGGCCTTCAGGCAGTGGCCACCTTGTGGGCAGAGGCTTGGAGTCACCCCTTGCTTGGGGCAGGGGTCTCCCCTCCTGCCACCTGCCCTTGGCAGCCGAAGCAGGACTGCCACCCTGAAGGCCCAGGGCTGAAGGTGCCTTTGTGGCAGGTACCGATGCCGAGGAGACCATTCTAAACGCCTTCAAGATGCTGGACCCAGACGGGAAAGGGAAAATCAACAAGGAGTAGTGAGTGCTTGGCTGGGGGAGGGCAGCCGGGCTGCCGGGGGTCCCCAGCGATCTCACCCTGTCCCAAAAGGGACAATCACCCACCAGATGCCACGCCCACCTCCCTACCTCTGACCAGCTTCAGGACCATGAGGAGTGAACCCAGGATCACAGCTAAGTGGGACACCAGCCCTGCCCACACAGGGACCAGAGGCCGGTGCCCAGGGGGCGGCTTCCCCTCAGCCCACTCCTCCATCTTCAGCTCCTGCCAGGGGCTGGCCTGTGACCTCCTTCGGGCTCTGTTCCCATCAGCAGCCCCCAGGCGAGCCCCCCAGAAGTGATGACCCCTGAGTGTGTCCTCTAAGGTCCCTCAGGCTCTGTCCCCATCAGCGGTTCTCCCAACCGTGGTGATCCCTGAGTGTGTGTTGGGAAGCGGCCTGCCCCAGGGCCACACTCCTGCGGGAAGGGCGGGAGTGCAGTGAGCAGGGGCAGCCTGGGGCCCCTGGAGCACCTGAGCCCCAAGAGAAGGCTCCTGCGCCCCCGCGTCAGCCCGCGCTGACCCCTTTCCTCGTCCTCAGCATCAAGCGTCTGCTGATGTCCCAGGCTGACAAGATGACAGCGGATGAGGTCTGGCCGGCGGCTCCCCTGCCAAGCCCACGAGGGGAGGGCGGGGCTCCCGGGGTCAGCTGGGTGGAGGCGCACGCGGAGTCCAAGGGGCTGCAGCGCCGCGGTTAGGACCCAGGACAGAACAGGCCCCCGGGGGGACTCCCAAAGTGCCCGTTTGAGGGACAGAACTGGCTCAGAGGGGTCAGGTCAGCGGCTGGAGACCCCTCCCCTCCGTTAGGTCAGCGGCTGGAGACCCCCTCCGCCGCCCGAGCGTCTGTCCCAGCCTGAGGGGCGGGGCTCACAGCTGTGTGGCCCCGCAGCCGCCCCCCACGCCTGACGCACCCCTCCCAGCCCCAGCCCCAGAGGGCGAGACCAATGCCCGGGCACCCCCAGGACCCCCGCACCTCCCCCAGACCCCACACGGTCCTCCCAGACGCTGCTGAAGGGCCGAGCCCCACACCTGCGCCCAGGCTAATGGCTGCAGCCCCGCGGCCCCGCCCCGCACCCCATCCCCCCCATCCCGCCCATCCCCGCCCAATCCCCGCCCCATTCCCGCCCCCTCCCCGTCCAGCAACCGCCCCATCCCCTCCAGCACAGCCCCCCATCCCCTCCAGCACCTGCCCCATCCCCCTCCAGCCAACCGCCCCATCCCCCGCCCCTGCCCGCCCCGGCCCTCCCCGCTCCCTCTCCCCCGGTCGCAGAAACCACACCCGGGACCGCTGCAGGTGCGCGTTTGTATTTCGCTCCCGGAGCCCGCAGGGGGCCCTTTCGCCCCCGCCCGCAGGTGGACCAGATGTTCCAGTTCGCCTCCATCGATGCCGCGGGCAACCTGGACTACAAGGCGCTGAGCTACGTGATCACCCACGGGGAGGAAAAGGAGGAGTGAGGCCCGGCCTGGTCAATAAACCTGGACGCTAGGACGCTGCCTGCGAGTCCGCCGGGGCGGGAGGGCGCGTCCGTGGCTGCTGGGCCCTGCGCGCGAGGGGTCGCTCGGCAGCAGATAGGGTGGGGGCTCTGGGGCTCTCTGGGGTCCTCTAGCGAGGCCCCCCGCCTTGCACTCCGGAGTCGCCCTGCTGGGCCCCAGGACCCCAGCCCTTCCCGCTCCCCCTCGGTCCACACCCCGCCTTGAGTCTGCGCCGCCCACGGCCGCCCTGCCTGGTCCGGGTCCACACAGCAGTAGCCCTCTCGCTCAGCCGCGCATCAGTCTCGGGCCCAGGGGCTCTCCCCAGGCCCTGGTGCGCCGAACGCCTTGGGTCCCTCCGCCCAGCTGTCTGACGTGGTGGGCACAGCCCGGGTGACCCGAGCCTGCCTCCCCTTCACCACACGTCCCTGGTCAGTCTCCGCATCTTGGGGCTCTGGGAGGAGGTGGCAGGGCCCAGAGAAGCGGCTCCAGGAATGAGCTGGCCCTGAGCTTCCAAGCTGGGAGTGCCATGCTGGGGCCTCAAGGGGTAGTTTCCGGCGGGGACTCCTGGTCCTCGGCGCCTGGGCACGCGTTCTGGGTGGAGGAGGACTTGGCAGACTCTGCCTGCAGGCGCCGGTGTGAGGTGTGGAAGAAGAGTACCAGGATGCAGCTGAAGAGGTTGCACAGGCCGGCCATCAGCAGCACAGACGCTGGGGACACATAGCACAGCTGTCCCCACAGCCAAGCCCCGTGGCCACAGATGGGCAGAGCCGGACGCTGGCCTATGGTGACACCACTACCCTTGACCACAGAGTGACCCCAGACAGAGCCCACTCCCAGTTCTTGACAGCCCTGAGGGGGTGTTTGCAGACCCAGGTCCTGAGAGAGGTCACCAGCAAGAGGTCTGGGATATGGGTGTGCCAACCCACCTCTGATCTTGGCCACACCTGTCCTAGCTCACCTGTCCTGTTGCCCAGGGACTCCCTGCGTGGGGCTCACCTGTCCCGTTCCCCGGGAACTCTCCATGTGGTGCTCACCTGTCCAGTCAAGTGGATCCTCCCCCTGCTGGCAGGTGGAGAAGGACCGCTCCGAGCATTGCACAGTCAGTGCCATCATCGCCAGCATGATGAATATTCCCTCAACCTGCCTAGACACACGTGGCCCTCAGCCCCCGTTGCACTGCCCATCCCCTCAGAGCCAGGTGCCACTTTGGGAAGTGTTGACATCAGTGCTGTCCCTTTTGCCACCACCCTCCCGAAGGCAGCACACAGCTTCGGTCACGGGCCCTATCAGCTGGCCCGGCTTGCACACAGCAGGCGCTCAGAACCTGCTCGGCTCTTGCCAGAGCAGGCAGGTTCCCCACCTCCCCGAAAAGAGGCCTGGACCACATGGTGCAACCCCAGGGGTGTAGGGGTGGAGTAAGGGGAGTATCTCTGGGGAGCAGCAGGGGCAGATGGATACTCACCCCAGCACAAAGATCAGGCCTACGGCAGCCCCCTCCCCCACGGGGAAGGAACACTCGATTGCCAACTCCATGGCCACGGGGGTCACCGAGAAGCCAAAGAGCCCGAGGAGCGAGCAGGTGGTGGCCAGGGCAAGGGCCTGTCCCTGCAGCAGGGACACCTGGGAGCAGCGGAACGGCAGGCAGACAGGTGGAGGGGGTGGCGGTCAGAATTGGACCTGGTTTCATGGGACACGGGGCATGGGGCGGGAGAACCCATCCCACCCAGGGGCCACCCTAGCTGGCAGAGGCCGGGCAGGAGACAGTCCGGACCTCTGTTCCAGCCAAGCTGCCAACCGCCCTCTCCGGGCCTCACCACCCACCCACCCCTGCAGGGCGGTCTTGGCTTGAGGAGACCCTCACCAGGGCAAAGGCCATGCAGGCCAGAGAGACCAGGCACAGGCCGATCTTGGTGGCCTCAGTGAAGTGCTTGGTCCGGTCCACGTAGGGGCCGAGAGCCAGCGCCCCCAGGATCCCAAACGCGATGAAGAGAGCTCCACAGAGGCCAGAAAACCCCTGGAGGAGGCGAGGAGAGGCCAGGGCCCCGAGAGGCCGCCATTATCATAGGTGCACACCATCAGGGCAGGGGGCTCAGGATAGGGCCGTGTGCTGTGCCCAAGGCCCAGACACACCAACACAGGTCCCAGCCGCACCGCTGGCTGCCTGCAGGGTAGGGTTTCCTGCCCTATGTTCCCCACCCCACCCCAGAGCAAAGCAATAGCTGAAGGGAAGAGCCTGTCGCCACAGAGGCCCCACAGGGCCGTGGTGCCTGTGGCCCTGGCAAAGGTGGAAACATGCCCCCAATCCTACACCGGGCACTGATCCCAGAGGGCAGAGGGCCAGCTCAGAATGTGTGAGCAGAGCAAGGCCCTCCCTGTTGCATGTCTGGATACCAGAAGATGGCCCTGTCCTGCAGACCCACAGGGGTGGGGCCTTGCTGGGAAGGGGCACTGGGAGCCCTGGGGGCCCCATCTTCCCAACCACGCACCATCAGTCCCTCCACTCCATCCCACAGCTGCACCACCTCCCTGCAGCTGTGCCCACCACCTCCACCGCCTGTGGACATAATGTCGCCCAAGGCATCTCGGGAGGGCCCACAGCACAGAAGGGCGTCAATGTGGCCCCTGCCAAGGTCGGACACGGAGCACCCCAGAGGCAGCGGTGACTCCGTGGCCGTATGCTGTTGGGACTTTGATGGGCCCTGGCGTTGGGGAGGGAGGCCTTGAGCTCTGCAGTACCCAATGCAGGGCCTTCACCGCCTGTCCCAGAGCTGGCGACGGTGGTGGGTCTGACTCACCGCCCCCACGAGCTTCCGACGGAAGTCCAGGCCCAGATGGGCGCCAGGGCCAAACAGGGGTGGGATACCACTGAGGTTAGGGACAGTGAACAGCCAGGTTGATCTGCGCCATGGACAAGGACGAAGTGTCTCGTGCCAATGAATGTTCAGCCAGCAGGTTGCAAGCTGAGCCAACAGCTGGCAGGGGCCAGGATGGGAGTCAGGCACAGAGCCAAGCAGACCCCGACGTACGTGCTCTGGCCCCCAGGCCATGCCCGAGGGAGCCGCAGAGTGGCCCAGACAGGCCTGGTGAGGCCGAGGGTCCCAGCAAGGCTGCGACAGCGGGCCCTCCTGCCGGCAAGGAGAAGCGGCACACCTTGCTTCCCGCGAGGGAGGGCACCAGCGCAGGGTCAGAAGCATGCCTGCGACGGGGATGCCTGAAGGGGCCAGAACACTGAAAGGCCAGGACCATGGGGCAGAGCCCACAGGACCAACAAGCCCCACCACGACCAGACCTGGGGCCTCAAGACGCAAGGGCCAGGGGAAAGACGGGCTCATGACAGGTCTCAGCTAGAACCTCTGGGGATTGTGCAGTCCAGGCCCACAACAGCCAGCCCAATTCCTCCCAGAAGCGCCAGGTGTTTGGGCAGAATGGTTGAGCAGAGCAGAGCCATATCCCCACACACCGGCAGCATTATCAGGTGCATAGGGCTGCCCACCGCCACAAGACGTCCGCACACCAGCTATTAGTGGCACGAG